GATTCAGAGCTACGGACAAATCAGCAGGTTGCTGCTGCACCACCGGGATCTGTGAGGATCCAGTCTGAGGAGGACACTGCTGTTATTACTGAAATGGGTCCCAAAGAAGAAAGAGCCACAAGGCTAGTGTTGGAGGATAAAGAACAGGCAGCTTCAGGAAAGACTGAACAGGCTGCCAAGGAGTCCATCAAAAAAGTAAAAGAAGCTGATGAAAGCAAGGGTTTGTCAAGCTCAGTGAGTGGAGCGGAGCAGAGAGGAAGAGATTCAAAGAAGGAAAGGATACGAACAAGACAAAAATCATCATCCGATTCCTCTTCCTCAGAATCGGACTCTGGGTCCTCATCTTCTCAATCATCCGGTTCATCCTCGTCCTCTCAAGAGAAAAAGAACTCCACCTCCAGAGTTACAAAGGTAAGAATAAATGATCTGTCTCTCTTTGGCATTAATGCAAAGTTGTATTAAATCTATATAAACCAAACTAAATTAGTTCCAAAATGAACATATTTGGATAAATATCCATCACCTTAATAATCAAGGTATAACATCCACCTATGTTGTTTCCAGCAGTTGGACATATTCTGAATTTACATAGAGCTTGAACAATGGCACCATACACATTTGCGGTCATTAATCATGATTTGGCAATGGTATAGATGCTTGACTATTTACTTGTGTCACACTTGTGACTATAAAGTTGTATAATATACCAGTTTATTTATCTTAAATCATATTGTTGCTCAGATTGCTTTTCTCCAGTCTGCTGAATTCTTTATGCTAAAAATTGTTTTTTATCATTTAAAAAGAAGGCTACTTTACTTTTAAGGGGATCTGTATTCATTGGGTGTAGTGGGCTCTCAGCAGAGTGGTATTAGTCTCTGATCACGGCAGGTGTTTTCTGGCAGTATCTCTGAATACAAGCGAGTGGGTACAATTTTTCAATGTAATTTTTTTTATCTGTTAAAACTGTCTGGTTTGTGTCAAGACGCTGTTGGCTATAGTTCCTTAGTTTAATACTTGTGGGGCTAAATCCAAAGTTGTGCTTGATGCATAAATAGCACAAGTCAGATGAAATCATCTGTATCCCTCTACTAATTTTATCAATCTTTAATCATCATGTGAGTTGCAAGGTAAATAAGAATAAAAGTTAACTCAAGACTCTGTTGTTGACTAGGCTAGTAACCAATTTTTATTTGGTGTAGTATTGTTTTTTTTTTTCCTCGTCAAACTTTGTTTTTACAAAAAGAAAAAAGAGAACTTCCATTTGCATCAGTCACAGCCTCACAGCCGTTTAGTAGTCTATTTGTTTATTTGCTGGGGTAACATTTCACTCTGTGTTGCCTGAAACATCACCATTAATGTTGATCAGTGTCTTAACAGTTAAACTACTCTTTCACCTGCTCAGTACAGTTAAGATACCTGGAGAATGCCAACCACTCCGTTGTGAATAGTAGCTTACTGCTTCTTCTCTAATAGTTTTCTATAGTTTGGAGCTGTGTCTTGGGTCATTGTCCTGTAAGGCAATTGGCTCCAATCAAAGGCAATGGCTCACGCAGTTTTGCAAAAATGGAGTGATGGCTGTCCTTGTTCTACAACTATTTCATCCTGTGCAAATCTCTTATTTTACCAATGCCAGAGCACCCAAATTTCATCCGACATGACAGGTGGTATCAAACACCCCTTCAGGTTCTTTTACACATGTTCTTCTTTTTTTTCTATTCAGTCACCTCAAACTTGGAACTTTATGTTCAAAAGCTTTTCTTATTTTGTAATTCTTCAGTAGCTGTGCTTGCCTTGCCATCTTAATCTTTTCCTTTTATTGGCCGCTCTCAGATATAGCTTTACTTACCAACTCTAGTAATGATCAGCATCTTGGATTTCATTGATGTTGAGACTGGGGGTGGGGGTGGTTCTGCGGGTGGCTCTTTTTAGAGGCGCTGCTAATTTTGTTTAACAAACCAGTGACTCAGATCCCCTGTTCTGTAGATCACTGGGGCCCCTCGTTTTTTTTTTGTTTGTTTGTTTTTTTCAGTTTGTGTCGTGTGGTGGTCTTCTGTAGATTGTAAAAATATCATAAACATCCTTTCATGAAGTCGACAGTTTTTTCCTGTGTTTTTTTTAGGGGGGATAACAGCCTTTATCAAGGACAGAGTTTCAGAATCAAGCTATTTCCTTTGCTGTTTTGCTATATAGTCCTCAATTTTGCTAAGTCTGATAAAGCCAAAAATTTTGCTTCTTTAAAAAAAAAGAAAAGAAAAAAGAAACAATAAATCAAAAAGATTTTAGTTGTGGACACATGGTGAAATATTTTTTCCTAATAATTAATTATGAATACATTAAAAGGATTAACAACCACTGAGGGAAGCAGGTGGAATGGTGTCCATCTCTTTATACTGCCACGTATTATTAAAGCTGTATATGTAACTGTGAGTACTTGCATGACTAGCCCTTAGCATAGTGGTTAGCATAAGTAGGTGCAGAGCCCTTGGAAAAGGGCTTCCAGAGAGATTTTGCTAAATCAAATATATACAGAGCTATATCCTGTGACCCGTGCTGAATAAAGGAGCAGACAAAAGCGGCTAGCAATAAAGGTTGTCATTTATTGTTTCCATTGATTTTTAATGAATAGAATAAAACGATTAATTGCCATTTACCATTTCTGAATAATCATATTATTATAAATCATATTATTTAAACTGAAAATGTTTATTTTTTCAAAACTTACCATGCCTATTTTGTAAAAATAAATTCAAAGTAGACTTTATATATTTTCGTTCCAATGCAAAAGAAAAGAAAAGAAAATATTGAACTGCTCTCTTTTTTTTTCTTCAAGGAGGAGATATCTAAAAGAGATTCCTCAACACAGCACGTGGTGGCTCAGCATGAGGATGTAAAGAAATCCTCAAAAACCTCTCCCTGCAAAAGAGAGACGTCTGCAGAGAAGGCTAACACAACTGCAGATGGAGACAGTCACAACGTGGTAAGTTGCTTAGAATAAGTTCCCCAGAAGATTCACCTTGTCACAATATCTGTGTCAGAATGGGCAGGACTTTGATAATAAAATAGATTTGCAATAAATGAACCACACTGTCTGCTCTTCATCTTATTCCCTGCCCTTTAAAATTCCCAGGCACAGTTTTCCGAAGCACCGACTGGAGAAGAAAAACATGGGAAGAGAACAGACAGTGAGGAAGAGGAGGAAAAGGACAAACAAAGGTCTGGTTTTCAGTCCCAGTTTTCTGAAACATATCTTATACTTTGTTTGTGTGTCAGATTTACTCACTGGGATCAGTGTATTTGTGCTCTTATTAACATGCAAGTATAGAGGCTGTTAACAATGCTCAGTAACTATTTGACCTCTGCTGCATCATGAGTGGGGATTTGCCAGTTTGGCCCTGTTAGGTGGACGGTGGGCCAGTCTGTTCAAATTAGCTTTGTTGCTCTGTATACCACACAACACACCAAACACTAATGCACTCGCTGCTAATTGAAGAGCTACAGCAAAGGCTCAGTTGTTTAGGGGATCTCTCTCCCTCCCCCTCTTTATATTCAGTTTAAAACTGGTTGGAAAGATATATTTTATTTTTACTTTATATTCTATTTTTACAGAAAGTGTTGTTGTCAGCTAGATTAATAGTTTTCATTTCACCAGTCTCTTCAGTTCCATTCCACATGTGCCCGTGTGACAGTAGATGCACTTAGAGTAAACAGCAGGGAAAGAAGAAGCTAGTGGGACAGTAAATGACAGCCGTAGGCGGCAGGCTGATGCTCACAGTAAGCTGAAATGAGAGTAGTGCAGCTAATTAGGTGAATAAGAAATATAAAATTTAAAAAATGTATTTTGGTCCTGAAGCCATTTATCGTTTTATTTATAAATAAATATAGGAGTTGTATTTATTTTATGTATGATATACTCTGTACCTGAAGTGATGGTATTATAATTCTCAGAACTGGAAAAATTTGGACTGATAGTTCCTTAATTGTCAATACAGTCAAAATAAACATTTCTTGAAACATGAATTGATTACATTGCTGTGGAAAGGTTTTCCACTTTCTGAAAAAACAAACAATGGATAACAATGGCAAAGAAGTTTCATCTCCTATGATACATTATGTCATTTAAGGTTCTTAAGTCTAAACTAGGGACAAAACCAAAGTTGTGAATAGCCTTGATCTTCAGCCCCTCCGGTGGCACTGGAGTAAAATCAGACTTGAGTGTGTAGTGGAAATTGCTGCCTGATTTTGTATGTCAAAATTGTCAAGTAACACAGTTTGTCCCAAAATCCACAAATACAAATGAAAAGCATCGTAGAAAAACAATATGATAGATGAGCAACATTGGGTAGGAAACCTTTTTCACATTCCAGTGCTTGCTTTACCCTTTTGTTTTACCTTCTTCTTAAGGACCTTTT